GGGCCGTTCACCATAACATGCCCTAAATGACGAGCAAACGCAATCACACACAAATAGTCCAAACTGCTTCAAATCCACCTCTGCTGGTATAATACACTGAGTGGATGGGTTCAAGTGGACTGGAGACTGCACAGCCCACGTTACTTAAAAGGTTTTGGCACTTGGCTTGGCTTGACTTAAACTTTGTAAAGGGCTGCTGAGAAAGAGCAGGGATGGTGAAAAGTACACATTTTTGTTCATATGCACAATACCTTCCAAAATCTTTCATTATCTTATTCTTATTTTTAAAAGAAATATATTTTTGCTCTCCAAGACTGCATTTATTTGATCAAAAATACAGTAAAAACAATGGTATTGTGAAATATTAATAAAAAAATTTGAATATATTTTAAAATGTAATTTATTCTTGTGATTTTTCAGCAGCCATTACTCAAATTGTCTGTCACATGATCTTTCAGAAATCATTCTATGCTGATTGTGCTTATATATATATATATATATAGCTACGAGAATTCTTTGTGCGCAAACAAAACCGTCTATGGATGGTCAGAAAGCTCTTGGACTTCATCAAAAATATCTTAATTTGTGTTCTTAAGGTGAACAAAGGTCTTACGGGTTTGGAATAACACATGATGGTAAGTAATTAATGACAAAATTTTTGAGTGAACTATCCCAAGTTTAGGTGTCTCATCTAATATTTATATTTTATTCCAGCGAAAAACTGCTTTTAATAGTTTCATTTATCCATAATTCATATGACAAAATGTAGTGCTGGGCGGTATACCTGTTCATACCGAATACCGGTGTTTATTTGTCTTATGAGTATCTACCGTCCCATTCAGGAACTGATTATTACTCAGCACGTTCTGGAGGAACGGGATGTTTGTCTGGGGAGAGAAAAGAGAACAGACAAATACATTTTTAACTAGTTCAGAGGAGCTGATGACCTGAAAGCTGGTGAGAGCCTAGAGTGGGCAGCTCTTGCGAGACGAAGACCAATCAACACGGGCTGAGCTTAGGTGCTAATGGTCCTACACAGGGCAGATGGGGCCATTCGGTAGGCAGTTCTAAAATCAATACCATTATCTAAACACTCAATACTCCTTTCCATCACTATTCAAACCTGCCTTTGAGTGTGTGCAAATTGGGCTCGGGTCACTGAGGAAATGGTGCTCACTGTTACAGCATGAAGAAAAAACTCAATATACTGAGCTAACATGCAACACATTTCAAGTCCTGTGTTCCTGATATAGTCTGCTACATGCATTTCTGTGGCGCTATGAGCTGAAACCAACGGCTGAACATGAAAGATTTTCCAGAATCCATTAGCCTGACTGTCGATACTGGACTCCAATGGCAGTCGGAGAAGGGGAGATAGACATGAAATAAAGGGTATGAAATCGGAAGAAGGTTGAAGAGTTGAAAAGGGAGCAGATGTGAGAGACTAACAGAATAAGCAAAGTGTTAATTGAAACTCTATAGTTTTAGCACTTGGCTTTTGCACCCCTGCCACCTACATACATACACATAACACATTGATTCTCTACGGAAGGGTTTAGTGGAGACCTTAAGAGAACAAGTGAAGGAGAGATCGAGGATGAGGAAGAAAAGAAACCAAAAGAGAGGCCGAGTCCAAATCTTCTCCCAAGAACTGAGAGTTGGAAAGAGTCAGCTCTAATCTGCCAGCACTCTGACCCAGATTCTTCTGACTTCAGGATTCCTCCTCATTCCAAACTTTTACATTATTCCTCTCAAAAAACAAACTGTAAGCATTTTAAATGTAAAAGCAGACGCAGCCATTTCTGGCTTGAATGCGCAAGACTTTTGGTGTCAGTTAGCTGTACAAAAACAGTCTGTTATGCTGCTTGATGTTGGTATATTTTGTTACAATAATCATGAACACTGGTTTGTTTTGCAAATAGTTTTACTGTATACTGTACTTTGTCATTCTTTAGTTATATACCTAATGAATTGCATGACATTTACAGAAAATAGCTTACTTCTGTGTTGAAAAATAAAAACAAAAAACAAAAGATATTTTCAAGAACATTAGTAAACCTGTGTTGGTCACCACTGACGATTGTATGGACCAAGAAAGATATTTCTCAAAATGTTCTACAGAGTTAAAAATGTTTGCAATGACATGAGGGTGCATTTATAATTAATTTTTGGGTTATCTATTCCTTTAATTTACTGTACGTCTTAATACAAAATCAATCACGTGCGTCCAAACTTTTAACTTTATACAGACATACAGACACAATGCCGGAGACATGAAGTACATAATGTTGTGTAAGACAAAGAGTCTGAAGCTACAGACTTTGCATACTTGTACAATAAGATGCATACTGATGTACTGAAAACCATTGCGACTACCATAGCTGACGGGCAGCAAGTTTAACCCTCTATGGTACTGTGTTGCCTCCAGGCAACAAACGAATTTTGACTCACTGAACCAAAAGACAACGCCCAATTCATGAGTCTCTTCTTTATGCAGAAGGGAGGACCATATTCTAAGTAACAGAAATGCAAAAACTGACCATGAATTAAACCTTATTATTAGAATCATACTACATTATGTAGATAACTATATTAGTATTTCAAAGAAGGATGCGCAATTTACTTCAGGCACGAAAACATCCATTGTTTCAATTTTATGGTTCAATGCTGCCTTAAGGAAACAAAACTATAACTAAATAAAAAGTATTTATTTTAAATATAAAGGAAAAAAAACTATGTTTGATTTTTTTACTCAATGGTATAATAATACATAACAGAGGGTTAATGATTTTTTGGAAAGCAGAGCAAACAAGGGATTTTCAATAACATGATTCTACAACCACATCCTGTCCACATGTTCAATACAAAATAACCATGATGCTGAAGAGCACAAGCATGCACATAAATCCACAATAATCAAAGCTTTCTCATAGCTGGTAAAGGAAATGTCTTTTTACAGCTTTGCTTGGACAGTGTTGTTTAGTGGTAAACCACTGGGTATTGCTGGAAACAATTTGTTGCCCACAAGCTCTACAATGGCTGGATAAAATCAGGGAAGAGACAGAATAAGAGAGAGAGCGGGAGAGAGAAAACACTGGAGTTTAAACATTTAAGCACAGACAGGCTGTGGATATATTCAAGGCTACCTGTCTGGATTTTTACATTTAGAAATAAGGAGCAACCACATCGAAGAATACAGTGTTAAAATGAGCAGTTACAATGCCAACCATCCAGCCACGGGACCTGTATAACAAGACAGATGGAAGTACAGATGGCGATATCACAACGTAGTCTCACAGATTTAACCAATTTGAGTAGCTCAGAGTTTGGAGCTGTCCAGGGTGCTGAAATATCTCAAGTCCACTGTGCTTTACTCTGTTTCCCAACCGTCTCTCCACAGCCTCATTAGAAAGACTCAATTATGCCTTAATCAACAACAAACTAGAAATGTATTCATATTGTATTCACATGATAGCTAATTATTACTATAAAAGCTACTATTATTATAATGAAGTCTTACACAAGTTTTGACAATTCTGAGGGCAATCGGCTGAGAAACTGAGAAAGGCCTAGGAGCAAGTTTATTCATAAGTAAAATCCACATTGGGTGTTTAATTAAATTCAAGACATTTGTATTATTTTTATTTTCATCTTTCAAACCTCAACAAGTATGAAATATCACCCATCAGCAAAACGCATCATCATTTATACAAATGTTAATGAAAAAGGTCCCAGCAGCAAGAACATCTTTGAGAAATAGTACATAAGATTAAGTCTTCAAATTGTGAGGAAACAGTGATCGTTATATTTAAATCCTGCAGATTTGCATTGTTTATATAAACACATACACTACTGAGTCTTATGCTCACCAAGGCTGCATTTACTTGAAATACAGGTAAAAACAGTAATACTGTTAAATTACAATACAATTAAACTAAAATACAGTTATTTCAGTATGCTATTTGATGCTCAGGAAAGATTTCTTATTACAATCATTAGCACTGTTGAAAACGGTTGTGCTGCTTAATATTTTTGTGAAAACCAAGATACATTTATTCCAGTATTATTTGATAAATAATTCAAAGGCACAATTTTTAAATATTTAAAACGTATATTTATTGGGGGGCAATGTACAAAGTCTTTACCTTTACTTAAGATCAATTTAATCCATGCTTCCTGAATAAAAAAATACTAAATTCCTTCCAAAAAAAAAAAGCCTTTCTAAGCCTAAACTTTTGAACAGTAGTGCATATTTTACTACAAAATAAATGAATAAATGTACACATTAATTGTCAAACCACACATATTATTTAGTTTCATTAAAAAGGAAATAAATTAGTTCAAGTCTTAATATTTTAAGTTGTAAATTCACTCCTATAGGTTCAAGAACCAAAAACTAAATCTTACAGTAACCCGCTTAAGTTTCCCCCGGGGTGTATGTACCCCTGCTGGAATCACTCTTTCACAGCAATTAGTTGTGGCTTGGATCCAGCAGTTGCAGTCTCTTTCTTAATGTACATACACACATGAATCATTCATATTTGTCTTATGGTACTTAAATGTATTATTCATGATCTGTCATGTTTTGAAACATCATTTAACTGAACCAAGACTGATTTTGGCTCGCCGGCCAAATCTTGAGTCTGATACGTCAGCCGCAGCGAGGTTTAGCAGACTCTGAGCCCACCGGTTACATGCTCGAAGCGTGTGGAGCTGGGCTACAGCGGGCCGCTGGCAATGTTGCGTGCCGTCCGCTTAGCTGCGCTTGCATGCAGTCAGGCCTCTATATATAGACCCGCATAAAGACTGAGTGACTCATGCTTACCTAAAATCACAGAGCCCAGAAAAACAAAGATTACGGGAATCAGAGATAGAACATGAGAAACTGAGAAAAAGTGTAACTTGGACTGAACATCTTTGGCTCCTTCTCTACTTCTCAACTTTGCTGACCGTGTAAAGCTGTATTAGCCTCATGTTCATAAGATGATTATACAGCTCAGCTTATAAGAACGGCTCTCTCATGATTTGGTACAGACAGTGGGCTTTGAACCGTGACCGCTTGCATCAACAGTAAGTGTCATAACACTGGACCAAGACATTGTTTTTAGGCTCACACTTTACAACAAGATTCATTCATTGTTAACATTATTTAATGCAACAGCAACGAGCAATACTTTTCAACATTTATTAAGCATTTATTAATAATATTTGTTCCTGCATACACTACCGTTCAAAAGTTTGAATCAGTAGGGTTTCTTTTTTACTTTCTATTTTTAAGGATGCATTAAATTGATCAAAAGTGACAGCAAATACATTTATAATGTTACAGAAGATTTATGCTTTGAATTAATGCTGTACTTTTGAACTTTCTATTCATCAAAGAATTCTGAAAAAAAAGACTGTTTCCACAAAAATATAAGGAATCACAACTGTTTTCAACTGTTTGGACTGCTTCTTGAGCATAAAGCATACTACAATGCTTACTGAATAGATTATGTGACATTGAAGACAGGAGTAATTCAGTCTTTCAGTAAAATTCAGCTTTGCCCTCATAGGAATAAATTACATCTTAAAATATATTAAAACAGAAATTATAGCATTTAAAAGAGCATTACTGTTTTAATGTATTTTTGATCAAATAAATGAAGCCTTGACAAGCATGAAACATCTTTTTAACAAATCTGACAGACCCCAAACTATTATACTAATACATTTTAACATTTCAAGTTAACATTAGGTCATGTATTATGAATATTGATGATTTAAAAACATAGTACATAACATTTTTATACTATTAGTAATAAAAACCATTATTAGTTCATAATACCTACTGTAATACATTAATGTTAACAAATTGAACATTACTGTCAAAGGTGTTATTGTTTTC